TGAATCCCATTTCATGTGTCGATGGATCATTAGGCCAAAGTATTTAATTGAGGTACTTTCTGAAATCAATAAGTTTTGATTGATAAATAATGGAAGGTAGTTTGTTGGCATAAGAGGTAAATGGTAAATATTTTGTTTTTCAAGGTCAATTTGTTATATTGAAACCATTTCATGATGTTTTTGAAAAGCAGTTGTTCTCGGACTACTTTTTTGCCATCGATGTCAACTATTTGTCTTCGATTATTGAGGGAGGAATAGAACAGTTCATATGCTCTGCCTCGTATGCCGATGTTTTCTAATTTTCCGAGAAGTATTTTATGGCAAACAGTGTCGAACGCTTTCGATAGGTCAACAGAGATACATAATGCAGGCAACGAATTGTAAATTTCTGATGTTAAAGAAATCAAGATGTACAAAATATCCCTAGTGTGACTTGAACACCCCCCCATGTAAAATATTTTGTCAATAACTCTCGACCCACGGCACTCTCGATAAAGAAATAATAAAAACTCTCGACGTAGTTTCAGCCTACCACTTACAGAGCTGTTGAGTGACACTGTCTTCAAAACCCCGGCATCACTAATCAATGACTACTTCTCACTCCGTGAAGTATATGATCATTGGGTTCGAAAATAATGTGCTCTGCGTGGATACATTGAGCCAAGAATGACACTAAAGATTTCTGCTGCGCAGAGTGCAAAGAACAAATTAAGTTTTTTGAGAATATACACTTACCTGCGCACCACCTAAGTTTATCTTCAGTTTGTTGAGTGGATTTTGTAGATCGATGGAAACTGAAGCGTTCATACTCAAATCAGATAAAGATAAACTGAAAAATGAAATTGATACATAAATAAAGTGGCTTACTGGCTGTTCAGTACTAAAATTTTGAACTGAAGGACACACTTACTGGAAATTTCCTAGTCCGAATAACGCCAACCATTTCATATTAAATAAGGGCATGTTCATAACATAATCAGTATCTATTTCAAAGCTTTTCAAGTAGAAATTGAGGCCGTAAGGTACTATGCCAAAAGGATAAAAATAGATTTTCAGATCAAAGGCCTTCAATCCAGTCACATTACAACTACTCAAGTTCAATACTCCGCTGAAAAAAATACAAATGAAAACATCTGTCTTCATTGGCATCATCATAACAACACCAGGAAAAAAACAACAGTATTCTACTACTTCATCACTTTTTATACTAACAGTCCGACAGAGTTAGTTGAAATTTTGGGATCCGTGTTAGATTTTGGTGTATGTGTTGGCTTTAGATGATCAAAGCCTCATAATTCTCGTTTGAAGGTGGTTAACGATGACAATTATATTGAACAATAAATACAATGAAATTGAAATAGGCGAAAAATTAAAAATGGAACAATGAACTAAAAATCAATACGTCTGAGAATGGCAATTCGTTGTAAATTTCCTTCTCCATTGTGAAGGTGATGGAAAGTTTTACGCCGTTGATGTGAACTAGAGTGAGAAACATCTGTATACCAAAAACCCACTCACACGGGACAGTATCTGAACCAGGAATCCAACCACAATCAATCGACTAAGAGAGGAATCATTAAGACTCTANTAAACCTGAAATGAAAATATATTTATTATCCGGAACTGAAATATTAATTTCCGAAAAATTGATAGGTTCTGGTATAGCATTCTGGATTTTCTTAATTAGTTCTTTCACTTCGTCCTCCACTGATGATTGTGCTTAAAAACGTGTTCATTAATAGAAGCGGGAAAAGAAAGACAAGGATTCAGACTTACAAAAATGCAGTGATAATATTAGCACGTATAGAAAAATATATTTATGCATTTTCGAATTCTGGAAGACGTCAGTGACAATTCGTTTGTGGACTGATAGATAATATTTATTGCTCTCCTATATTTATATTTTACTATCTTTTATCGATAAGAAGAAAGAATTGGTATGGCTTTTGTATTGATTGATCGATTTGTCACATCGTGTTGAGGTGGTATTAGTTTAAAGGTAATTTTTCAAGATTATTGTAACCATAGAATGCTAAAGAAAATATTTACTGATCATGGTTATTACGGAATATATTAAAAAATTTCATAAATTCCAAAATCTTTTTTGTATGAGTGAAATAGACTGAAGTAAATACACATTTTCTGGTATAATCTTCTGATCCAGTCACTATAGTTGATTTTTCGACTATTTAAAAAATACACAAGGTATCATGAGAACATAAATGGTCTGGAATGATAAATTTGATTTTTTTCTCGTGAAAATGATATACCTATTATTTATACACAGAAATAACTGAATTTAAAGTGTGTGTCATTTGCTTTAGACTACACTTATATATGTATATACATGTATATACATGTATATACAAATATGAAAGTTATTGAGTGTCTTGATATAGAAACACAAGTTAATATCGGACATAGCACTCATGAAAGTGGCAAACCATAGACACGTGTTTCGGGCTTTTGGCCCATCATCAGTATGGTGCAGCCAAGTGTAAGGATGGGCAACACTTGGTTACCAAAAGATAGAAATACAAATGCACGGAGCC